ACAATTGCTTATTGATTATATAAGGATGATGTTATTGGAAATGTTGTTACTAACTGTATCCTTAGAAATTCAAAATAAATGAAATAACAAAACCAATTCTATATCATGTTTTCCTGCACACGTTCTCTAAAAGGGAAACCATTTTTTGTTTACGTTTCATCATGTGATCTCTTGTGAATACTGATTCTTCTTCTTCTTTTCCTATATCTAAACAGTTACAAACAGCCTGGTGTACTAATAATGGCCATTTACTTATACATGATCAACAATCACAACTCTATGTTTACATTTTCTCAGCTGAACTTGCATGGATCCAAGTTGATTTCATTGATATGGAATTATTCTTCGAATAGACAATTTACTATGACATTATGTCAGTAATATGTAAGGTAGAAATGGTTTTATTAATTTTATTATTAGTTTACTTGATAATGTCATTCTATTTATGTACATTAATGGTTATCACACCAAAGCTGAGGTTAGCCTACTGACAGACAACACTCTTTAAGGTTTCTTTTTTAGAATTGTAGTGTGAGATGACCCCCAACTTTTATATGGAAATATATGGTATGTCATCTGTGTCCTGATGTGATGATAAACTACATCTGGCATGAAGGCTTATGATCAGAAGATTGGAGGCTTTGAGGTTTCACCTCTTAACAGCTGTTGTTCCCAGGTCCACCCTGACTCAGGGTGGTAGCATCTGTTAGGGTCCCAGCTATGGGAAAATAGTGATACGCCAAACAAAAGCAAAGCACTATGAAACTATAAAAATACATTTTTATGGTGAAAATGCCAGCAATAAATCTTTAAAGCAAAATGACCAACAGTACATTTTATAGTAGAATTACCAATGATAGATTTTATACCAAAATGACCAACAATATATTTTATAGTAGAATTACCAATGATAGATTTTATACCAAAATGACCAACAATATATTTTATAGTAGAATTACCAATGATAGATTTTATACCAAAATGACCAACAATATATTTTATAGTAGAATTACCAATGATAGATTTTATACCAAAATGACCAACAATATATTTTATAGTAGAATTACCAATGATAGAATATTTTATCTGGAGTTAAAGGCATGAATTTGTGTTCAAAATAATTAGATTTCAGCATTAAATAACCCATAGAGGTGTTGATATACCATGATAAAAACATCCGGCAACTGTTTCTTCTTATTTCCCTTTTTTGTCTCTTAGCAACCCCTTCACTCCCCTTGATATTCTCAAATTGTTACCCAATGTTGTCACCAACTTGCATGTTTGTTGTTCAAGATATTTTTTGGTTTGGAAAATTTGTTCATGAACCAATTTATTCAGTGTTACAATTTATTTGAATATGTATTGAATGATTTTTGTTCATATCAGAACAGACAAATGCTGACATTTCATTGCTCTACACTTGCCAGAAGACACATCTCCTTTATTATGGCTTGTAGACATGAATTTTTTATTTATCACTTCACCCCAAATAAGGTGATAATACCACTAAGATGCAAGAAGCTGCTGGAAGTGAAAGAGAAGCAGAAGACTTTAGAAGGAACTGGGAATCCATCCTAAACAACAAACAAATGAGAAATTGCTATTTCTGTTCAAAAGACTGGTGAGAAGTGTGAACCGGATGATAGGCAATTTAAATCTTGAATGTCATTAAATTATTGTTAAATTAATCCTTGCCATTTTAATCATAACCTTTTGGCTGGTATGTTCTCTATCCTTTCTTGTTATCTAATATATTGAGATTCAACATTGTCATAATTCCAAGAGTTATTCAGAGACGTATCTTTATTTTTGTTGCTTTTGTTACAACCTTTACTCTGATATGTTTTTTTTTTGTTGTTGTTTTAGCTTTACTTGTTTTTTTGAAATACTGAAGAGTTATTATCATTATTCTGTCATATTGTTTTGTAATCATTTCCCCCCAAGCAAGGCAATAAAGCCACTAAGACACATGAGAGTTACTGAGTTTGAAAGAAAAAGAAAAACATTATCAAAGAGTGAGAACAATAAAAGAAGAGAAATCAAGAAGACAGTAGATAACGATTGACATTGCCGTTAAAATTTTGAAAATCAAAACATGAAGCTGGAAGAGAGTTCCACAAATGAGATATTCGATAGAAGCAACTGTTAGCATAGAACGAGCAATGTCAGCTGTAAATTGATGAAAACTTATTACCAATCTAGTACTGCACTTAATAATAATTCTACAAGAACTACACAAGAGGATTTAAAACAAGCTGGAAAGCAAGATACAGCAAGGCATTTACTGAGGATTTTGGAGAGAACATGATCTAGTTCAGAAACATCTTTCCTGGGGGGCAATTGCTGGCTTACTGTCAAGTCTGCTAGCTTTGTGGGGATGAAGATGATGATCATAACAGAAACGATTAATAGAGTCTATGGACCCTTTATTTAATCTACAAGTGTAGATTCATAGTTGAAGAGTTCTAGATTCTGTAGGTCAAAAACTGAAAATCTGTATGTCATGGGTCACATACTGCAGTTAGAAAGCAGGAAAACTATTTGCTGTATTGTTTAGGGCACTCGTCTTTTATGTAAGTCATGAAGTCAGTGATTGGTTTCAGTGGGGAAAAAAATTGTGTAACATTCTATATGAGCCTTTCTTTTTCACTGACCGATAACTCATGAAACATGTTCTTGCTTCTTTTCCAGAGGTAAGTTGCCACTTTCTTGACCATAAAATTGCACAAACTGATCAATACTGAACAAGATGAGATGTCCCTCGTCATGGACAGTGGAATGAGAACTGTCTAACTCTGTAGATTAAATTAAGCATTTATTTCAAAATTCCTAGAAGGTTGCTTAGGTTGACAAGGATCGGAGCTTAAAACATCATCATGTTGAAAAAATGGTTCCTGTATGATCACTGAAGTTAAGCAATGTCAAACTTGGTCAGTATCTAGATAGGTGACTGCTTGGGAGTACCAGATGCTGTAAGCTTGCATGTGTGGTTGGTGTAATGGATAATGGCTTGGAATTCTTAATCGGAGAGCAGAGTTCCAATTCCAGGGATAGTGTATCAGAAATAGATCGTAAGATTCTATAATTTTTTTTTTTTTTAGAGAGCTTTCAGTTATACTTACTTACGTACAAATAACCTTGGGAAAGGTAAGAATCCACCTCTTCTCCCCCCAGCTGCAGATTAATTATTAAGTCTTGTATCACTTAACTATTATTATGACAAAAAATATTCTTAAAATATAAAAATATTTTCTGGCTTTAAATAACCTGCAAAAGGTTGGTAAGCAGTACGAAGCGAATCAATCAATCAAATATTGATTAGCTACACAGGCATGTCTTTTAGATTTATTTACGGTCTCAAATATAAATGTATAGAAGCTATCACAAAGTGATTACAAATGAGGGATTAGATTATGTATTGATTATTATATAGAATTGATCCCCCACTTTATATTCACATTATAATTTCTTGTGAGCATGTCTTTTAGATGTATTTAGTCTCTATAAGTATGGAACATAAATGTATAGAAACTATTAGAGTCACAAACTGAGGGATCAGTTTATATAATGTTTGTAACATGGAATTGATCCCCCATTTTATATACAGTATTACTCCTTGTTTGTTTATGAAATTCTGATTAGGTACAAATCTAGCTCTTCTCTCCCCAGTTATGGGTTAATTAGTAAGCTTGTATCACTAAGCCATTATTATTGCAAAAAATAATTTAAAATCTAAAAATATTTTCTGGCTTTAAATAACACAAATCAATCAACAAGTATTGGAGGATGGCTGGAAAGTACAATTAAATTGGAATATTAATAACAAAGATGAGGACATAAGTCTGAATGTAAATAATGCAAAAAAAATAATAAGGCACTTCATGTGAGCACCTTTGTACTGGCCATTTGCTGCTCTGCTCTACTCTACTGATTTTCTCTGTGACATATAGTTCTGAAATAGAGAAATTTATCCCAAATATCCAGGGATAGTGTATCAGAAATGGTTAGATCTCAAGATTCTAGAATTCTTTTCTTTTTTTTTTTTTTTTTTTTTTTTTTACAGAGCTTATTTTCAAAAAGTAACTTAGTAAAACTAAATTAAATTATACTCCGCTGGATGCCGAATATGTTTTAGAAAATTATGTTGCATCGATATTCAGCGTTCTCTGGGGAGGAAAAAACTCCAGCAATATATACATCAACTGTCTGTTAATGTTGAATTTGTGTCACTAAAATGCAGAGAAGAAAATGGTAAAAACTGACTCCAAGTAGCAACGAAAAACACAAGCACCATCTAAAAGAGTTCTTCCTGTGGTGTCTTAATATGTTCACAAATGTTATTGAGTACCTTCTCTGTGACACAATATGGTGCCAACTGCTCTGGCATTAAAATGAAGGAAGAAATTCTCCTTTAAAAAAAACCAAAATGAATGGAAATATTTACTGGTAAATGTTTCATTTTGTTTTTCTGTTCCTTACGTGACAAGAGAAAAAGTCAACTTTTTCCTTTTTTTTTTATTATGAATCAAAAGTAGGTCTTCGTCTATTTTGATGTGAATAATAAAATCTTTTTATATAGAAATCAGATATCATCCGATTGCAGTTCATCTCTTCGGACTGCTAGCTTCCTACAACTCACTACAAAATCCTAAAGTAGATGTATACAGCTTCGTTTATTATGGATGAAAACCAAAATTTTATTCAGGTATTTAATTTTATATGTGGGTAAGGAAAAAGAAGTGAATTCCAGTTTCTAGTAATTGAGCATCACCAGCCTGGCACAATATGGTGTCAACCGCTATGGCAGTAAAGTAAGAAATGATTATATTTCCAAAGTAATAATGTTTTAACTTTCCATATAAGAACAGCACTTCTCATACAATCATTGATGTTAAGCAACATCAAGCCTGGTCAGTAACTAGATGAGTGACTGCTTGGAAATATCAGGTGCTGTAATCTTTGATGTGTGGGTGGTGCAACTGGTTTACCACAATATCACATAGAAACACTAGTTCTCATCCAATCAGCAAAGTTAAGCAGTGTTGAGGCTGATCAGTACCTAGATGAGTGACCGCTTGGGAATATCAGGTTCTGTAA